TTCAGATGTCTTCTAAAAGTCTGGTAGTTGTGCACTTGTGCCTGACTTCGGATTGTAAGCTTTCCCCCTTTCCTTTCTTCTCCATAGGCTTAACGGAGTTCAAGCCCGGCTACTGGGTCGGCATCAAGTATGATGAGCCTGTGGGGAAGCACGACGGAAGGTAAAGCGCCCTCCCTCCCCCTGACGTCTCTTGCAGGGCAGTCCTGCCTGGCCTGGGACCCCAAAGTGGGTCATCATGGGATCTGGGAGGCTCTGGCAGCTTCATAGCTTCACGTTGAAGCATCAGCACATTCCCACCTTAACCTCTGGCACATTGTCGGCACGTGTTTTAGGTCTATGTCTAAAGGCAGTCCACAGAGTGTTGCAGGGGCACGAAACTTAACATTCAGCGTGTTTTTGTTTTTTTATAGTGTTTGTCGATTCATTTTGGGCTGCCTCAGAAAGATAAAAACAAGTTCGCTTCAAGTCTTCCTCTGTAGTGTTGCTGGCAGCAATTCAATAAATATACGGCTTCTCCGTTGAGAAGGACAAGAGTGCAGAATGTTGTATTGGGTGCAGAATTCTGCCAGAGGGGTGACTGAATAACATTTCCAGCGGTTGGGGGCAGAATGTCAGAGCCCCGCATGGTTCCCACCCCTCTTTAATAGCCAGCAAAACAAAAAGAAACGTTTTTTGAAACGTAAAATAATAATATTAATGATTTTATTATGTATATGCCAGTCATCTGACTGGGTTGCCCCTGCCACTCTGGGCGGCTCACAACAAAGTATCAAAAACACAGTAAAACCTCAGCCTTCCCTGAGCAGGGCTGCCTTCAGATGTCTTGTAAAAGTCAAATACAGTGGTACCTTGGTTTACGAACTTAATCCGTTCCGGAAGTCCCTTCTTAAACCAAAGCGTTCTTAAACCAAGGTGTGCTTTCCCATTGCAGCGGGGGACTCATTTTACAAATGGAACACACACAACAGGAAGCGAAACATGTTCTGCTTCCAAGGCAAAGTTCACAAACCAAAGCACCTACTTCCGGGTTTGCAGTGCTCTTAATCCAAGTTGTTCATAAACTAAGCTGTTCTTAAACCACAGCACCACTGTAGTTGTTTTAAAGATTTTTAAAATGGCAGGAGCAGGATAAATAACACGGAGCAAGAAACTGTGCAAAACAGGCATCTCCTGTAATTGTAACAGGGCACAGAATGTCAGTTGCAGAAGTGTTCCTTTTTAAAAAGTCAGCGGCATGTGCTGAGGATCGGGGCTCAGGCCGCCCCTTGACCAGCTGGGCTTCTCCTCAGACTGCTATCCCTGGAACCCCAGCCTGAGTGTGACTCTCTCTCTCCTGCTCTTCCTCTCCTTGGCAGCGTCAACGGAAAGCAGTACTTTGAGTGCCAGCTCAAGTACGGGGCCTTTGTGAAGCCTCGCTTCGTCACTGTGGGGGACTTCCCGGAAGAGGTGGACTACGGCCTGGACGATGAAATGTGACGGGGAGACGAAGAGGTGCAGGGGTGGCTGAAGGAAGCAGAGCGGGTCGCCATGCGGCCTCTGTTAATGGCTGGCTGTTGCGCTCTGATCCCATGCGCGAGGTCACTTGAGCAAGCCAAAGGGAGAAGGCGCGAAAAGCCGCTGTGTGTTCTTCGACTTGTGTTGGTGGTTTCCTCCCCGCTTCCCTTTCCCCTGGTTGTTTCTTGTCTGTTCCGTGAAGATGCTACATCCCTTGGTTTTTCTCACGTTTACACCCTTCTGTGCCAGCTCAGTTAGCCCAGAGAAAACTGGAGTGTCCTTGCCTTGTTGCAGCAATCCTCGAAAGGGTGAGGCCTGGGGGGGCAGCAAAGTCGCTCCTGATTCCCCCACCCCAGTAGTAAGGCCTGCTGGTTGCAGAAGCAGTTAGTTGAGCAGATTTGTACAAGACCCTTCCTGCTTTTTTAAAAAAAGTAAACGCAGACATTTCTATGACTGTGTATTTTTTCCCCCATTGTGAAAACTTTTTTTTTTTTTTTTTGTGCTACTGGCCGATGCTATGTGAATACGATAAATTAAAAAAGTTGGTGGGAAAATACATTCCAGACACGAGTGCTGCTTCTGTGTGAGCTTCTTCCGTCTTGCGCACCGAGTTCCTGGGGGTCCTGGCCGGGTGGAGGTATAGGAGGTCGTCTTGCAGCAGCTCTCCAGATCCTTGGATCTCCTTGCCTTGCTTTCCAGATCCCTTCAGCTGGAGATTCCAGGGAAGGAACCTGGAACCTTGTGCAAGGGAAAGTGTGTGCAGCACGGCCGCTGGGCTCTTCTCCCCCGGCCTCTGAAGATTACAAATACTGGTGGGGTACCAACGATGAGGAACCTACATCAGCCCCATCCAGCATGGCCAGTGGTGGAGGAAGATGGGAGTTTTAGTCCAGCATTCATTAAGAGGACCACAGATTTCCCATCCTGCCTCTAGTGTCATCTCCAGGCTCAGCTCCTCTCTTGCCTTGACTGCTCTTCTAGGGAAGCATCTGCTAAATTCGTATTCTCCCTCTCCTGATTAACACTGATTTTCTCTGCATCTGCCTCAAGCGGCTAGCTGTCATCTGCCCCTTGCGCTGCTTTCACTCTGTCCGTTCTGCCTAAGTGGAATCCCCTGTTTCCCTCCTTTCTCATCTTCGCAGCCTGTCCCTCCCTCAGCTGGTATCTCTCTCAGCCCTTCCGAAATCTTAAGCTCTGTGGTCAAGGGCCACGGCATTTAGGAGGGTGCTGTTGCATCTCGCTCTCGGCTGGGCTGGATAAATGTGCAGTAGTAATTGGGGAGCTTTTCTTGCAGTTGAGCAAAAAAGAACGTGAGTGAAAACTTAAGCCTCTATCCAAGCACTGAAATGTGACCGCTGTGGTCTTGTGGCTGCAGCATTCTGCAAGCTTGCCAAATTATATTTATAAAAGTTGTGTCCCTTGCCTGGGAAGGTTAGGTAGTGGGCTCAAACTATACTGCCTTTCATAGATTACTATGATAGTCATATTCCCTGTTCTAGTTCTTCCTCAAAAACGGCTGGAGTTTAAAAACACAACAACACCTAATCTGCTACTTAAAGCCATCAAGCTGCATATGACAGCAAAGCTAAACATTTGTTTTGGAAACAGGTTTGGAGTAAGTGTCATAAGCCTTCTTAACAAAGAAGGCCTTGGTGCATTTGAAGCTACATCGGGGGCTTCTGTGGCAGGTGGTGGGGAGCCCCCAGTGAACAGTCCGTGAGCTGTAGATGCCAGCCCTTCCCTCTCCCAAGTCCTGCAACTTCCATCTGAGAATTACTTTCACTTAAACCATAATTGGGGAACATCTTTGCCCCTCCCCACCTGACACTGGGCTCCCACCTCCTATCAGTGCCAGCCAGCGTAGTTGGCGGCCCCACCATGGGCAAAAGAGCCCTGCATTGCAGGGGGTTGGGCTAGATGACCCTCGTGGTCCCAGCTGTACAATGCTGGGATGGCACCGGCCCTGGGTATATGTAAGGCCACAGATTCCCTATCTTGTGTGAAGCAACATGGGCAGCCCGAAACCTTTGGCTGCTCTCGATATGATCCTCCACCCCCATCGTTCAGCCCGGACGCTGAGGTCCAGCTCCGAGGGCCTTTGGGCGGTTCCCTCACTGCGAGAAGCAAAGCTACAGGGAAGCAGGCAGAGGGCCTTCTCGGTAGTGGCGCCCGCCCTGTGGAACGCCCTCCCACCAGATGTCAAGGAAATAAATGGCCTCAGTCCAGTATACCTGAAGGAGTGTCTCCACCCCCATCGTTCAGCCCAGACACTGAGATCCACCTTTGAGGGCCTTCTGGCGGTTCCCACGCTGTGAGAAGTGAATCTACAGGGAACCAGGCAGAGGGCCTTCTCGGTGGTGGCGCCTGCCCTGTGGAACGCCCTCCCACCAGATGTCAAAGAGATAAACAACTACCTGACATTTAGAAGACATCTGAAGGCAGCCCTGTTCAGGGAAGTTTTTAATGTGTGACATTTTAATGTGTTTTTAATCTTTGTTGGAAGCCGCCCAGAGTGGCTGGAGAAACCCAGCCAGATGGGCGGGGATACTAATAATAATAATAATAATAATAATAATAATAATAATAATAATAATTTATTATTTGTACCCTGCCTATCTGGCTGGGTTTCCCCAGCCACTCTGGACAGCTTCCAACAAAGATTAAAAATACATTAAAATGTATTTCAATGTGGTGTCATGGTTAAAGTATCAGACTAGGACCCGAGAGACCCGGGTTTGAACCCCCGTCCAGCCATGATGAAGCTCAGTGGGTGAACCAGGGCTCAGCCTTAGCCTACTTCTCAGGGTTGTTGTGCAGGGGAATTAAACGAGAACCACGTAAACTCCCTGGAGGAAAAGATGGGGTATAAACGCAACAAATCTTTGAATTAATTAAAGCAATTCCTGGGGTTTCCCAGCATGCCTAGGAGACAGGAAATGGAGATTCCCCGATATGTCTCTTCCCACCCCCCCCAAAAAAAATCTGGGGCGTGTAAAGCTGCACTCCTTCACTCTCTTCAACCGCTTTGCACCCGGAGCCGCGCCTCCCCAGAACACCCCCGCTGGCCTGCCTTGTAGGAGCGTCGTGCAATGCAAAGAAGGCAAGATCGGGCATGCTCTCCCCGACTATTATTATTATTATTATTACTACTACAGGGACAATTATTTAGCGGGTGTAGGAGGCATGCCAGGGACGAGGCCTTTAACTCCCCCGCCTTAATCAAGCCTAGGTTGCGGGAGCAGCGGACACGGGAACCGAAGTTCATTTATCCTTCCAAATAAAACGACTTTCTTGCAAGACCAGGCGTCCCTTCCGGCTCGGCTCAGACGGAAAGCTCTAGTGAAAAGGAGCTTCCACCCCCAACTCCAGTCGCCCCCGTGGATCCCCCTTGGGGCCCCTTCTGGGGTGGCGCCCCCTCCCTCCCCCCCCCCCGCTCGCCCTTCCTGGGGGTCTCCTTAAGGACAATGACGCGCCACCTCCCCGCCCACGTGGCTTCCAGCCGCGGCCGGGAGCTTCCTGGGAACGCCCCCTTGCCAGCGGAGAGCCAATGGGAAGTGAGGAGAAGGCGCCGGCGGAGTCTCAACGTTCCACGGCTGGTGACGCGCAGAGGGGGGAATCCCCTCCTTCGGCCGGGAGTCCGGGTGCGGGGAAGCCGGCAGGAGCGTGGCGGGATCGCGGATCGGGCGCCGGGGAACCGGTGGGTCCTCTCGAGCTGCGTTTGCAGGGCGGGCGCTTCAAGGCCGCCGGAATCGGGGGCTGTTTCTGTGGCCGGGGGGGGGGCAGGGCCGGGTTCAGGTTTCTGTGTCCAGCTGCCCTTGGCCAACAACAAAGTGTCACTGTTTTGTGTGTTGAATGTATGCTAGATGGTAATTGAGGGACCTCACAGGTATCCCAAAGCCATTTGCGCATCACAAAATACGTATTTTATCAAAGTCACGGTTGAACTGAAATACAATTAAGAAGTATATTAATAAAAGGTAAAGGGACCCCTGACCATTAAGTCCAGTCGTGACCAACTCTGGGGTTGCGGCGCTCATCTCGCTTTACTGGCTGAGGGAGCCGGCGTTTGTCCGCAGACAGTTTTTCCAGGTCATGTGGCCAGCAGGACTAAGCCGCTTCTGGCAAACCAGAGCAGCGCACGAAATGCCGTTTACCTTCCCGCTGGAGCGGTACCTATTTATCTACTTGCACTTTGACGTCTGTCGCGGGGATTTGAACCGCCGACCTTCTGATCAGCAAGTCCTAGGCTCTGTGGTTTAACCCACAGCACCACCTGCGTCCTTATAGTGAAATGCAATTAAGAAGAATTATATTAATAGTGAAATAATTATTAAGCTTTAACTTAAAATGATTGGTGGCCCATGAATTACATCATAGAAGCCTACACAACACAAAAGTATCTGAAGAAGTGTGCATGCACACGAAAGCATATACAGTGGTACCTCGGGTTCAGAACTTAATTTGTTCTGGAGGTCTGTTCTTAACCTGAAACTGTTCTTGACCTGAAGCACCACTTTAGCTAATGGGGCCTCCTGCTGCTGCTGTGCCGCCGGAGCACAATTTCTGTTCTCATCCTGAAGCAAAGTTCTTAGCCCGAGGTACTATTTCTGGGTTAGCGGAGTCTGCAACCTGAAGCGTATGTAACCCGAAGCGTATGTAACCTGAGGTACCACTGTACCCAGAACTACTTAGTTGGTCTCTCAGGTGCTACTGGACAAATTTTTACCCCCCCCCCCCCGAACACAAAACACTGTTGCTGTAGGTAGGTTTTATTTTATTTCCTTTTTATCTTATATTTTGGAAATGTACATCCAGGTGTTTTTTTTCTTTAAATTTTTTTTGGGCCCCCAAGAGAGTGAGACCCTAAACTAGAGCTTGTTTAGCTTATACGTAATTCCGGCACTGGGTTGGGGGGTGGGCAGCTTCTTGTGGCCCCTGTGCTCCTGCCAGCCTCCCCTCCCAAAGATAACTCCCCCCCCCACTCAAAACATTGCTGACCATTAATAATTAGACGTGCTGCCTCTGATTTTGTACTTTTCATTCTCCTCGCTGTGGCGATGCGAGATAGCTCGCTGTTCTTCCCATTTTGCTGAGGCTGCAGCGCTTCATCTGGGGTGGTTTGTCCACCTTGGGTCCCCACCCGGCACTCAGCTCTCACCTCCTGCTCCAAGAAGCTGTCGGCAGGAGACAGCAGCCACAATCCCAGGAAACAGCTTCGACTGGCTGGCTAAACCAGGCGAGGGCAGCCGATGGGGCTCAATCCCTCGGTGAGTTTGGGACTTGCCCTGCATGCAAAGACAACCTCTGGTCGATTGGGCAGACGAGACCAAGGGTCAAGAAGGCGGTTTCTGCGCATGCTGTAGAGCAGGAGTCAGCAAGGTTTACCTCGCCTGGGCCAGTTCACTCCCACGGAGATTGCTCTGTGGGCTGGATTGTGTCTGCACATTTCTGGCGTCTGCGCAGACGCAATTTTTGGCACCCCCCATATTTTATTCAACTTGGCACCCCTGATGCAGGTCTTAGAACCCAGACCCAGGGCTGATTTTCTCTCAGAAAGGCTCCCGCTTCTTCCAGGGCCCTCCTCCAGCCTTGCTTGGGCACCCCCCATAAACTTCCCCACCAGCTTCTGTTCTGACACTGCCCCTTTTGGTTCCCCAGCTCCTGCTCTGCTCCTTGGCTGACCGGAAGGGATGTCCGCACGCCCCATGGCTCGCCACAGCAAGCTTCAGAAGCAAGTTCTCGGCCTCTACCGCAGCTTCCTGCGGGCCGGCAAGGACAAGCCGGGCTTCCTTCCTCAGATACGGGCCGAGTTCAGGAAAAATGCCCAGATCCCCCGGACAGATGTCATGATTATAGAGTACCTCGTCCGGCGTGGGCAGAGGCAGCTGGAGCAACTCAGAGGCGCCCACACCAAGCAGATGGGTGCCTTCGTCAGGACGGAACAGGAGGAACGATGAGCCGGGAATTCTACTTTTTGGAAAGGGTTTCCTGCCCGTTTTTAATGGAATGGTCCTTTCTCCTAGCTGCTGGTTTTTAGCACAGCTGGAATTGCAGGTGGGGAATCTGTGGCCTTGCAGATGTTGCTCCGTGAGCATGGCCAGTGGTCAAGGGTGATGGGAGTTGCTACAAGGTGGACAGGAGCTTAGCAAACCCGGAATACAGATCTGCGTGCCCTCTCAGAAATGACTGAACAGAGCTGCCCACAGTTGCCACTCAAGGGCGCAGTTGAGAAATACATAATCATTCTGCTCCCATCACATTTTTCTCCTCCTTTTTATATTTGAACTAAAAACACTTGCTCCCTACAGATGTAAGAATGCCCTAAGCAGGGTCTGATTGACACAGAGACTCTGGGAGTTGCTGTGCTGTGTGGAAGTTCGGCATTTGTTATTGGTGATCGTCAACATGTTCACATGGCAGTTGAACCGGTTTAGGTGCCCTGTGTAGGCTCAGTTTTTCCTTGTAACCTTGGTTGTTCTGTCTTGGCGGGAATTTGAATAAACTAAATTGCCAAATAGCTCTTTGTGAGCTGCTTTTTTTATTACCGTTTAGGATGAGCCCTGTTTCATGTTTAGGATTCATGTTTACTGTTTAGGATGAGCCTTTCTGTCAGTCGCCCAGATCGCTTCCACCAGGGTCATGGCTACAAGGATCCATATCAAGCACTGAAAGCAGGAGAAGGAACTGATGCTGCCATATTCCTGTGCAAATGTTTAACTACAGTGGAACCTCTACCTGCTACCATAATCTGTTCTGGAGGTCCATCCGGAGGTTGAAACGAGTCACTGGGAGAGGCACCGTTGTGCGCAGGTGCGGGTGGTGATTGCCTGCTTCTGCGCATGTGCAAACGGCGACAAACCTGCTGGTTACTTCTGGGTTTGCCGTGGACATTGGGCGAAATGGATGCAAGCGGAGGCGGATGCAAGAAGAGGTTTGACTGTATAGCCTTAGTGGTTTTTGTAGAAGGTGACCGCAGAGGGCCTCTTGTCTGTAACAGAGACCGGAGGTCCTGCTTAGGGAAATAATCTGCATTTTAAGGGAGTCAGTTTGGCAGCTTGAAGCCTTTGACTGCTCCTCCACTTAATATTTATGGTGCTAACTGAATAGACAAAATGAGACAAAGGGAACCATCTTATTCCTTATTCCTGACTGCACATCACTCCTGGATGTTTCAACGGCCCGATGTTTAGATACTGAAAATGGATTGTCGTTATTGGGATACCATTTAACGCTTCATCTAATAACTGTGCTACCGTCAGATAGTGGCAAGGTGGGAAAAGCTCTTCCCTCCCTCCTGGCCCTGCAAAAGGAAAGAAAGGGAAATGGTGGTGTGTTAAAAATGTGTGTTTCTAAACACTACTGTTGATCACACAGCAGCTGAAATAAAACTGCTTTACCTTTGTGTGCATATTTGTATTTAATTTTGGGAACGTGGGTGGTAGATTTCACAAGGAGGCCCACAGCACCTTAAAGAGACTTAGGCTTGGGTCCTAAGATAAATAGATGAAAGGGCAGTTCGTGGAAGTGACATTTGCAGTTCCTTCTCTCCCCTCGCAACTGCCGTGCAGCCGGAATCATATTCTGATGGAGCCTCTCTGGAGGCTGCTGGGCTCTCCTGAGCAATGCAGGGGTCCTGGGGTCAGGAGGGGTGGGGAAACCACAAAAAATGGGTTTGGGTCCTAAGATAATTTAAGGCAATTCATTGGGGAAGATGCTTAGCGGCAGAGTGCCTTCCTTGGATGCAGAAGGTTGCAGGCTCGTTTCTCCAGGACCTCCATGCACACTGCACAAGCCTGCGCCCTGGGGGAGATCGCTTCATTGCTGCACTGCCAAAGCAATGTATTTGTTTTATATCCCTCTATCAAGGGGGCCAGGCTGGCAGGCATGGGTCTCATTATTTCTTAGGTAGGTTAAGTGGTAGTGATGGGCCCAAGGTCCCCCAATGAGCTTCATGGCCAAGTGGAGATCTGAACCTTGGTCTCCCAAGTCCTAGTTTGGACACTGTAATATTCATGATCCCCGATTTCTGCAGCCTCACTCATCAGCTTTCCACTTCCCCCAAGTCTTTGTATAATAATAATAATAATAATACCCCACCCATCTGGCTGGGTTTCCCCACCCACTCTGGGCAGCTCCCAACAGAATATTATTAATAATAAAGTTATAAAAAAATCAAATATTAAAAACTTCCCTAAACAAGGCTGCCTTCAGATGTGTTCTAAAAGTCAGTTGTTTATTTCCTTGACATCTGGTGGGAGGGTGTTCCACAGGGCGGGTGCTACCACTGAGAAGGCCCTCTGCCTGGTCCCCTGTAACTTGGCTTCTCGCAGTGAGGGAACCCCCAGAAAATCCTTGGAGCTGGATCCCAGGGTGGAGACGCTCCTTCAGGTATAACCCACCCCTCACCCCGCCAAAGTTACGGAAGGCATGAGCTCAGTTCACCTCGCCTGAGAAATTCACCACCTTAAGTCTATAAAGGCGTAATGGGAATTGATAAGCCTTTCTGAAAAGGAGGAAGGCAAAGTTCGCGCTGGCAGAGGAGGCCTGCCGCAACCGGAACGGGGTGCTGAAGTTTCTGCGCGCTTCCTGCACGTAAGTAGACCACCTGCCCTTGCCTTCTCTGGGTGCTGCTGCTTTGCTGGTGAGGGAGAAGTATCCTGTTCTTGAACCTTGGCTCTCTGAATCATCCTTCTGCAAATACACCCCTTTGGGCTGAGTGGCGGCTGGCTGTGCCTATAAACATTGCATTCGCTTAAGATTTACTGCTCACCAGCATGGCTCACGCAATCTCGGAAATGATTCTTATTTTAGAATATTTTCTGCCCACGGTCACCTTCGAGCCATTTATGCTGTTAATGTTGGGGAACAGGCTTTGTTAATGGGCCACCAGCGTGGCGTAGGATGTGCGATTACGGGAAAAGAGAGGGAGAGGTGTTGTTTGCTTGCCAACTACCTACCTGCGACCTCTTGACGTGTTCCTCTTCTGCCAACTCACTAACGGGTGTTTACAGTTTAAAATAAGGGCTTCCCCTCCACACTTTTGGAACTTTTTTGGGGGTAGCCCCTGCCCCCAAAATATAGGGGGGCCCAGCACACACAAGCTGGCGCACCTGAAGCTAATAGATACATTACAGATGGGGAAAAGGAAGGTCGCGGGGGGGAGGAAAGTGAGTGGAATCCTTGATTCTGACGCAATATTACGTAATTGTTAAAATGGCCAGGTGGAGCAGACACAGGTGGGAGGAGGTTCTGGGAGGGGAGAAGGCAAATGAGGCAGCCGATGGAGGAGACCTCATCATCTTGCCCCCCCCCTTTCTGCTGCAGCCAGGCGGAAAAGCTTGAAGGCTCATGTTGTGTCCCTTGTGTCAGAAACAGCCACCTGTAAGCTGGGCTCGTGTTTGCGTGCTGGCTCAGGGGAGAAAAATACCACCCCAAGCAGCTTGCTAAGGGAAAGGCTTCCTTCCCCTTCTCCGGAACACTGGTTACATAATAATAATAATAATAATAATAATAATAATAATAATAATAATAAAATATTTATACCCCACTCATATGGCTGGGTTTCCCCAGCTACTCTGGGCAGCTTCCAACAAAGTATTAAAATACAGTGGTCTGTTAAACATTAAAAGCTTCCCTAAACAGGGCTGCCTTCAGATGTCTTCTAAAGTCTGGTAGTTGTTTATCTCTTTGACATCTGGTGGGAGGGTGATCAACAGGGCGGGCGCCACCACTGAGAAGGCCCTCTGCCTGGTTCCCTGTAACCTCGCTTCTTGCAGCGAGGGAACCGCCAGAAGGCCCTCAGAGCTGGACCTCAGTGTCTGGGCAGAATGATGGGGGTGGAGACGCTCCTTCAGGTATACTGGACCAAGGCCATTTAGGGTTTTCAAGGTCAGCAAGGTGTGCTCAGAAATGTACTGGGAGCCAATGTAGATCTTTCTACATATCTGGAATAGTTTTATTACCAGACTGGGTGCCAAGCAGCTTCTGTAGCTTGACGTGTTGCTGTCCAGAAAGCAGTGCTATCACTTCCAGGCTGCTGCAGGTTACAGATTTGACTTGTCCGTCGTCAGCTGAGAATTCCAGAGCAGAGGAAGCTGGAGAGGGTTGTAGGCTGGCCTTTCCTAACCTGGCGCCTTGCAGATGTTCTGGAGCTGCAACGCACATCTGCCCCATCACCCTGGCTGTGCTCCCATCAACACCAGCATCACATGACTGCGCTCGCTGATGGGAGCCGAAGTCCAAAGCACCTGAAAGGCAAAGATCCGGTTGGAGTGTCCATTTCTTATGAGAAGCAGTTGTGCAGGAATAGGGGCCAAAGGCAGATCAAAATAATAATAATAATAATAATAATAATAATAATAATAATAATAATAATAATAGTTTATTTATACCCCACCTTCCTGGTTCAAAAACCGGGCTCAGGGCAGCTAACAACAAATTTAAAACACTTAATTATAAAAGCAGCATAAAATACAGTATAAAAACATGAAGAACAATAAAATTCAAAATTTAAAAATCAGTTTAGGGGAAATAAGCATTAGATAATCCCCAGGGCTAGCTGGCTGAATTGGTCCTACTTGGGCCAGCGAGGAGACCAGGGGAGAATTAGCTGTGGGGTCTCAGAGCGGGTGATCTTCATAAAAGGGGAGGGGGAGGGAAGGGAAAGAAAAGATCAGGCTGAATTCAAATTGAAAGCCAGGCGGAATAGCTCTGTCTTACAGGCCCGGCGGAAGGAGGTTAAATCCTGCAGGGTCCTAGTCTCATGGGACAGAGCATGCCACCAGGTCGGAGCCACCACTGAGAAGGCCCTGGCCCTGGTGGAGGATAGTCTGACTTCTTTAGGGCCCGGGACCCCTAAACTATGATTATTCATGGACCTTAAGGTCCTCTGCGAGGCGGTCCCATAGAATAAGAAGAAAAACCAGCTCTCCAATGCTATGCACTGAGGATTTCACCTGTACAGAGGGTGAAGTCTTAATCCTCATTTTTTGATGGGGAACAGTCCTCAACACCTTTCTTCCATCTATTTGCACGTGATGGGCTGCCAACCTTCCAGAGGCAAACTTTTGCAGATATTTATTCCCAGGGATAGTTTGAAAAGCCTCCACATTTTCTCCCTCTTCTTAGCTACCAGCAGCTGTGGATCTTCAACCCTTTTAATACCCCGTGGCTGACAAAAGCGATGCTCTCCCTGACCAGAGGTAAGCGGAATAATTTGGTTTTAGGATGGGTTCCTAAACCCGAAGGATTCAGAGGTTATTATCTCAGGATCATAGCGCAAGTTAGTAACCGTAAACCATTCAGTGAAGAAGGATGTCTGCTGCTGTGTAGATGTCTTCAGGAATATTGAACATCACTTCCCACATAACACCAGTTGCAAAGAAAGGAGAGGGAGGGAGATAGGATCACTAGGTCCTCACAGGCCTTGCCTCTCGGCCAGGTGGAATTCAGTACTAGTCATATTGGCTGGTGTGCCCTTTTTTGTGTCAGCCACATCTCCCCACTTCCTTAAAGGGT